GTTCCGCCGTCTAACTGTGTAAGCTTGTGCCGGTAGTAAGTTATGCAACGATTTGTACCGAAAAAAGAAAAGGAAAAAAAAACAAGCTATGTGGTGTTGGTATTGTGTTCGGGTTAGTTTTGTGTGGGCATGACGAGCACTTTCTCTCTCTCTCTCTCACTCTCTCTCTCTCTCTCTCTCTCTCTCTCTCTCTCTCTCTCTCTCTCATTCTCTCTCTCTCTCTACTCTCTCTCTCTCTCTCTACTCTCTCTCTCTCTCATTCTCTCTCTCTGTTTCTCTCTGTCTGTCTGTCTGTCTGTCTGTCTGTCTCTCTCTCTCTCTCTCTCTCTCTCTCTCTCTCTCTCTCTCTCTCTCTCTCTCTCTCTCTCTCTCTCTCTCTCTCTCATCTCTCTCTCTCTTTCAATCTCTCTCTCTCATTCTCTCTCACTCTCATTCTCTCTCTCTCTCCCATTCAATCTCTCTCTCTCTCATTAATTCCACTCATTTTCGGAGTGGTATTACACGCCTTCGTACACACATTGACTTGTATGAACTTATTTTCCCACGGTCATGCAAAGAAATGTAGTAATAATAATGATAAAGTAAATAAATCAAATAAGTAAATAATAAATAAATGAAAAAATAAAGAAAAAATAATGGCATATGGCAGATGAAATCAGCAGTAGATACATTGTTATTTGATTAAATTTATTTATATATAGTAAATTTATTTACGTGATTAACATTATTACATTTTACATTGCCGTGTTTTCATTATGATAAGGATATGTCCATTTATGATTTATGTTTAATTGTAAATATATATATATGTATATTACTTTCAAAATTGGTTTAGATTAATTATTATTATTTATTTTTGTTAATAATTGTGTGTTGTGCGATTTTTTCACTGTTTTTGTAAAATGCACTGAAGTTATTGAAATACAGTTTTTGTTTGAGGTACAACAGTTCTGGGGACACATTTGTATTTGTTCATTATGTATGTTCTTGTTTTACATTTGTTTGTGTTGAAGATTTAATCGAAAACGTTCTGGATCCTCTTTTCTACCTTTGTCTCAATTGAATCTTTTTGCGATGTTATTTTATTGTTGTTATTCATAACTGTTTGCAGTGCATGTTGATTTAACTTTTCATACATTTTTTCCGTTGCACAAGCACCGGAATGCTGCAATACACAAGGACATCATATACGTGTCCTAAAATGCACTTTGTTTTTTGTGTGCGTTTTTGAGTGTAGAATTACGGCACCTCGGGTTTTGTTACTTGTAGATTTTAGAGAAAGAATGGAGAATGAAACACTTTGTCTTTTGCTAACTTTTATAATTTTCTTTAAAAAGGATAATTACTAGTTGTTTGTTAATGTGATTCGCTCTTTTTAATAAGTGCAGAAAAATGTCAGGAGTAATTAAATGTGTTTTGCTGCCCGCTTTTGTGAATGACTCCATCAAAGCGTTTCATTCGTCATTTTACTTATAGAGAGTTATGGCATGTGACAGAGATTGATTTCTTTATTTCATAACACCTGAAAAAAATGTAAATTGCTTTGTGAATGAATTTAGGTAAAACGTACCAATTATAATGTTTGTGATAATGAATGAATTATCTTGTTAAAAGGCCCACCAACGTTCTATATTAACGATCCAGTAGTTGATTCATGTCTGTTGGTAAAGTGACGTAGAGTAATTAAAGAAAAAGAACTTGACTGCCATCAAAAGCACTCTCAGTGCCATAACAAGAGCCAAATGATGCCAGAGTAAGAGCTGAACAAGGCATAAAGTCATAGGTTGGTTCGCGAAATTGCAGTTGAATTTTAAGGCTCTGCATATTCTTTGGCTGTTTGAGACTTGGCCGTTTGATGAAGGATATTGTTGTTGTTTATTGAATGACTAATGTTGATCGTTGGTGGGTCTTTTGATAGTCAGCGAAGTGTAAATAAAACGTGCCTGCGTCTTGCTTTTTCAACATTTGATGTGATGTTTGTGTAATAGAGTTGTTGGGTGGTTTATATATACATTTTTGAAAATATTGTTTGATAATATTTTTGTAAAACAATGTATTTTCTCCAAATTTGCATATACTTGAGTAAGTACTCGTTAAACCTGATATTAAAAAAAAACACTTACTCACCTGCACACGCTATTAACTACGCCCCCACGCGCGCCCACACACATTCACACACATTCACACACATTCACACACATTCACACACATTCACACACACACACACACACACACACACACACACACACACACACACACACACACACACACACACACACACACACACACACACACACACACACACACACACACACACAAAAAAAAAAAAAAAAAAAAAAAAAAAAATCTAACCTGCCTTTTATCCCTTCTCCCTTCTCCCCCGCCCCCCCTCCGCCCCCGCAGACAGAGGACCTGGTCGTCAAGAACGACGAGGAGTTGCCGCCGCTGCGCAACCCCGACATTCTCATCGGCGAGAACGACCTCACGTCCCTGTCGTACCTGCACGAGCCCGCCGTGCTCTACAACCTGCAAGTGCGCTTCTGCAACCAGAATGCCATCTACACGTACTGCGGTGAGCAGCAGGATCTTTGTTGAGATGCAATGAGCGTGTGTAGGAGTAGGATGTATGAACGTGTATGGGCGGACGTCTCTTAATATGTGCATACGTGTATATTGTTTGTATGTGTACATACCTACCTACATACATATATACGTACGTAAGTACATACATACATACATACATACATACATACATACATACATACATACATACATACATACATACATACATACATACATACATACATACATGCATATATACATGCATATGTTCATACATGCATACATATATTCATCCATAGCTTACATGTTACATACATATGCATACATATCACACGTCTTTGTTTTTGTGTGAAAGAAAATCAGATGTAATTTTAATTATATATAAGTATGTGTTTGAGTGATTATATAAATGTTTAATTAGTTGTATATATATTACCATTAATCTTTTTTAAGTGTACAGAATAATATTTAGATATACCTTACAATGAAGTTACATTTTTAGTAAAATAATTTGTTTCTCAAAAATCAAAAATCCTCCCTCTCCCTCATTGCCAGAGAGACTGATTATTAAAATTGAGCTTTTTTTGGCCA